AGCAGTTTAGCTGACAAAAAATTGATATATTGAACCAAACCTTTTAGCACCAACTGTACGATGTTTTCTCTGCTGATTCTTGCAAATACCTTTGCGTAGATGTACGTATTTGCACAAAGGAAAACAAACTGCTCTTGCAGTCCTGTGATCTGTGAATGTTTTAATTACCATGACGGTAATTCCAGCTCACCAACTTATCTTACCTCTACTGCTTCACTATCCATTTATTTTAGGTCCTGTTAAAGGTAGAAAGACTAACTACTCTGCAGATATGCTTGTCTGCTTTAATTAGTCTTCCTTAAGCTGTGCAAAGAGAAACTGCGCTTAATTAGCTTTCATTAAATTAGGATTGATATACCAGCAAGTTATTTGTTGGTGCTGTCATTACTGTCTAATAAACTAAGTGCTCTACTCTGCAATTTCTCTTTTTTTTTGCCCCAGGTAGTTGATTTGCAAGATGGCAGGCAGAGTAAGAACATGAGCTTTGGCTTTAGCAGAGCTCTTGTCACTGCCTGGGGTTGGCGGTGGCTGGGTCGGGGCTCCCAGGCACTGCCTGGGGCTGGTAGGGTCTGGGCAGTCTGTGGGCACGTGCTGTCCTGACTCTTGCTTGCAGGTCCACCATGCTCAGTGTGAGCCTTTCTCCCAAGCCTCCGAAACTCTTATGGGCATTGCCTTGGTCCAGTGGACAAAACCTCTGGCCATGGGGAGGAGGGAGAAAAGATTTTATTCTTCCATTGACAGAAATTCTATGCCAGAGCAGGTCCACCTCTGCAAACCTGCATTAAACGTATGTTTTGGACAAAGAGGCTCCTGTATGAAGTGGAAGTTTCCACACTGAAATGCTTATTTTTGATCAGTGTTGGGGTTTTCTTAAAGGCACATGTTTATCTCTGGTTCTTTCCAGAATGAAGACCAGAAAATTTCTTAACTCTATGTGTGTCTCTATCTTCTAAACCAGTTTCCTTTAACCAAGCTGTGTGTATGTTGGAACGAGTGGACTTGGAACATCTCATTACTTTTACAAAGTATGTTTTGAGAATTTGAAATGAAGAAAACAGATTTTTATTACGTGTAATGACAATGAGAGATGGCTCCTTCAGGACTTTTAAAGAAGGGGAAGAGGGGAGTGATCAAACTTCTTAACCCACAAGGTCACCTTGGCGGCCCTTCAGAAGTTGGAGACAACTGCCAATTTGCATTTACCTGTGGTCAATGCATATGTTGCATGCATGTGGCTGGGCTATTTGCTTATGCTTAAGCAATATCTTTGTTAGCAGGTGCATAAAAAGTACTGTTGCCCTGAGGTTTAGTCACACAACCCATCTTATGTTGGTTTTGTTACTGGTTTCGGTCAGAAATGTGGTCTGATCCCTCAGAGATCCCTTGTGCCACAGCCTTTGGGCTATTGCACAGCCAGCCAGCATGGTCAGGGGAGGAATTTGAGCGGCTCCTTCCTCTTCCCAGAGCAGTCTTGCCACATAGCTGGAAGCAATGTTATTTCTTCACTCAGATGGTTTTTGTCAGCTGCCCCCAGGGTCCTCCCTGGGGGTTTGTCCAGGGGCAGCTGGTGTAGGTGCCCCTGGGAGGGAGGGAACAGCTTGCAGAGCAGGGGGCAGGCTGTGCTGCCTTTTCTCCTCTTGCTTTTCATTGCCTTTGCCCCTTCTCTCAGGGACAAGAAGCGTCTCTCTGCAGCGTGCTGTGCTGGAGAAATAAAAGGTGATATCAGTAGGGCTGGAGGAAAATCAGAAGGAGATAGCGGAGAACATGCCTTCCTTGGAGACCTTGCCCTGAAGGAGCACACGTGTGGGTGCTGCCCTCGGGCTCAGCTCTGTGGCCCCATCGCTTGGTGGATTGTTTTCTTTCCCATATGCCGTGCCCAGTTCCTATAGCCATCTGAAAGTACTCCAGTAATAAAAACTGAAAACCAGAAATATAATTCATCACACTTAATAATGCAATTACTGGTGAGCTTCGAAAACTTGAACGAGGTGTACTCCCGTGTGCCAGGATTATCTCACTGCTGTGAACTTTGAGCTCTGCTTGCAGATTGCTTTCTCTTGTCCCATTGAGCACCTGGCCATCGGCCCTGCAGCACTTCTGCAGAGCCCTCATGCCAGGGAGTATCATTCCTTGTGTTACTTGCTCAGTGACTTTCTTACCTCACCTTCCAGTCTGTGCCCAGAATAAACTGCCTGTGACAAGCTACAAGTCCAAGTCCCTTGAGTAGTTTTAAAGGAGAAGCGGATCTGAGCCTGGTGGTAAAACATATCCCAGCTGTGCTGCACATGGAAATGCTGGTGAGAAATGCTAAATCAGTATTTGTCTGGACCCCTCTTCAGCTTTGCATCTGTGAATTTAAGTATCTCAGATTGCGAGCTGTGGCTGTGCCTGCACTTTGCATGCTAAGAGGTTGCTCGGAGCCCGGCCAGCGTGTCCCCAAGGGCAGCAGACTGTGCATGAAGCACTGCCAGGAGGGGCTGGGGGCTGCCTTGCAGATTTGGACTCATTGAGCTGGGGCCACCACTCTACTCTGCACAAGATTTGACTGGCCAAATACATCTCAGCGAAGCAGCCCGTTAGTTGCTGCCATTGTATAAATGTGCTCAGGATTTGGCACCGACATATTTATGCTTTCTTCTTTCCAGGGCAGGCTGCAAATATGCACTTTGTTGAAACCAATCTGCTAATTTTTGAACTGCCTGGAGCTACAATTCACAATGGGTGGCAGATGCTTGTGGTTGCAGGCCCTGCACATCTGGGATCAGCTATCTATTCCCCTGACACTGGAACCCACATTCTCTTTGAAGAAGCTCTTAAACCTTTTACTTGCTCACTTGTCCCATAAAGCAAGCCGTTAGTGTCCGTTCAGTGCTGTTCCTCTTTTAAATGAAGTAACTTAAAGGAAGATTTACTAGATGTGACTGGGGGAGGAGTCACGGTGCCAGGATGCTGTTGCCTTTATACCCTGTGTGTTAGTGGGACCTGGTGTTTCCATATGTTCAGGCTGGTGCACGTGCATGCCCCCAGACTGCTTGTAGTCGGTGTGACTGCATATGCATGGCTCCTTAAAGAAAGTTGCATGGTACCTTGGAGTGGAGGTATCCCAAAATCCCATCCTTACGGGAATGTGTATTTATAGGAGTAAGGTTGTTTGCAAGCCTTTAAAAATTGGTTGATTCCCAGTGCTGGATAGCTAGGCAGCAACAGATCAAAGTGCCGGTGTAGTTGAAAAGATTTTATATCTTTCAGTGTCACAGTCTCTAATTTGTTTAGATGCATGTGAAGGATCAGAAACTAACGTGCATCTGGGGATTAAGGCAGCTTTGCTATCCAATCTGAAAGCTAGCATATTCTAAAAGACTTTCAAAGTCTCAGAAGGCAGTGAAGTGCTTTACTGATTTTTATGTCTTTGAAAATCTCTTATTTAGTGTGCCTGGTGGAATTATAGAAAAACATGCTGCCAGCTGTCTGACACCAACAGATCCCACCCAAAGCAGTTAAGTACTGCAGGGGCAGGCCTGCGAAGACGGAGCCCTTGCTCTCGCTGTGTGAGCAGCCGTGCAAAAGGACTAAGATTTGCTAATTTCATGTGACGCTTGCTCCTTTAAAAGTTCACCGTAATATTTTCCCCTCCCACCTCTCCTACCCCAGGAGTATACTGGTGGTTATGCTGTAAGAAAAAGAATAGATGTTTTCATCTTGAGATGAAATAGATGTTTTCATCTTGAGAAGGGAGTTGCCATCATGATATGAGTTTTCTTGCAGCAAAGAGAAAAGAAGAAAAGAAAGCAGTCTGAGCTCTTCCTTGGCAGCCTCAGCCTATACCATTGTGTTTGGAGATCTTTTAACTAAGGAGGGGCTGAGCTTACTCTAAAGGTTAAGATAAAAGCAAAAGAAACCAGCAAGCCCATTCCTTTACTGTCTTCACTGCTCTTCGGCTCCAGTCCCACATTCCCACATTGGTTGGGTGAGCCCTGCTCTTGCCCAGGGGCCCAGGCAAGAAGTTGCTGTGGGGCAGCCTGGGACGGAGGGCATCCCTGAAGCAGGAGTTTAGGAAATTTTATGTGAGTGCTTCAGGTTCTGCGTCTCATTGCTACCAGGCTCTGCTCTATTAAACGTGATGATTCTGGAGTCAGATGCTTGATTTTGTCTCACCTCTATGGCCCTAGACCGTGTCTGTGGTCCGTCTCAGCATGTTCCTGATGTCCCTGCCACCCACCGCTACGGGATATGCTTACAGAAGCCTGCCAGGGCAGGGCTGGGTGTTCCAGGTGCCGCCTAGTGCAGCGTATGCGAAAGGGTGTTCAACTTGTCCTTAAGCACCAGTTTGATCTGCTGGATCTAATTAGGTGATCTGGAGCTCGCTCTTGCTGTAACTTTCACAGTGTTGAGCCTGCTTTTCCCTTTGGCGCGTAGTGGGCAATGCAGATGTTATAAAGTGCTTCTTCACCTTTGGGTGCCTTTAATGAAACCAAATCTCTTCCTTGGTTGGTAAATGTTTCAGTGCCTCTGGTCTGTGCTTGTGGAGTTTCAGATGCTGCAATATCTACTCTTACGCATGGGGATGGGCGTTACTTGTGTTCCATTTAGCTCTGCAATTAGGAACAATCTGTTTTTACCCTAGCTGCAAGGCCTTGAGACTTTTTCCTGCTTATTTCTTTGGAGTGAACTTGATGGGCTAAATTGTTTAGTTTTTGTGGAGGAAAATCAGTAATGAGGTGAAAGCTGTTAAGAGCAAGCAGTTAAAACAAAAAGAAAAAATGAAAAAAAATACAAAGGAGATTTACTTGTCTAAACCTTTTTTTTTTTCCTTGTTTTTTCTTTCCTTTTTTTTTTCAATTAGATTTAGACTTTCAGATTAGATTGGAAGATGTTTCAACTCAGATGTTTCAACAGAGTCTTTTGAAAACATGGTTGTTGTCTGGATGTCTCTGGTCTCTGTTTTGATACCTTCTTCATGACTGGAAGATAAATTTTCCTTTTCTTTTTTCCTTGGGTAGGAAAGAATGCATTTTCACCATCGACCCATCAACTGCCAAAGATCTTGATGATGCTTTGTCCTGTAAACAACTCCCTGACGGTATGAGATATATTTTACAAAATACTTCTCGGTGTTTATATTCAGCCATTGACACATTCGTATATAAAATTTGTCATGAAGTGTTCTTTACCAAGTGTGAACAGAGTCATAAACCAGCTTTTTGTTGTGTTAATTGTCTGTTTTCAGAAATCTTAGAGCAGATATCTTCAAGCTGCACTCTGAAGTAGTCTCGGTGTCTGGAAATGCAGAAGCGTAGTGTTTTGCATAATCGGAGCTGTAATTCGATTTGAGCACATCTCAGCTGTCTCCTGTCGTTACGGGAGTTACAGCTGAATAGCTCATGTGCCGCTCGTGCAGACTGAAGTCTACGGAAACTTTGACCTTGCATACGCAGTCCCTGGATGAAGGAATCCAGTTTTTTTGAAGGTCACTGGCTGAAATGCTTTTTGGTGTTTATAGGATGCTGGAAATTGTCAGATGAGCAGAGTGTGCCTTACAAGCTGCGGTGTTCTTTTCGTTGCCTTTTAAGCTTTCTGTTCTGCCTTATTTGTACTTTTGCTATGCTGTAAGCCAACAGAACAGAAAGTAAAGCTTGAGAAGCCAAATCTTGATGATTATGACTTAAGGAACTTCCCTCTTGTAAGCTTATTTTGTCATCCAAGTTCTTATTTAGTTTGATGAGATCCAGCAACAGGCTGGGTTAGAAATATTGCATGATTTTGCTTAGCCTATCCACCACTAATAAAGAAGATAAAGTGATTTCTTTTTTGGGGGGGAGGGCGTGTTTAGTTTTCTTTACTCTCATTAATCATCACCATATGACACTATCAAAGACATCGTTCCCTTTTTTTGGGTTGATTTCATTCAGTGCAATGTGGCCAATGAATTGTCATGTCATTTAGACCCAGGTACAGAATAGTATTACAAGGCTATAAAACGGATAAAAAAATCGGAGATGAAAGAAAAAATGGAGGCCAATAAAATTAATTACATTATATGATAGCAGTTTTGAGGCAAGATTAAGGAAAAATTGCTGTTCTATTTCATGGAAGAAATTAAACAGTCTTCTTGAGAGATCCTAAGCTGAACTCTGTTCTCCCTCTTTCCACTTTGTCATCCGAATTATGGTGGATTTATGACAGTTTTGTGATCCCACAGCCCCTCTCATCTAAGGTGTTGGAAACTCTGACTTCTGAGCCTTTACTGCACACGCACACGTGAGTTTTAAATGCTGCAGGAAAGCACTCACTGAGCTCATTTTGGTGCATACATCTGCATTTTTTTCTTATCCATAAGCCTTTTGGAGAAAGTGTTCAAGGAAGATATCTGCTTGAACAAGAATTCTTCTTTCCCAGAACAAAGCCGTTGCAGGGCTGACACTCGCCCCTGGGACTTGTTGATAGAGCTGCTGATCAGGGATGTGGCTGCGCTTCGAAGCCTGCCTTGTCTCTTCCACGCCAACTGCAGAAAATGCTTCTTGAGGCCTCTTGCACCAATCTCTAAGGAAGGAGTGCAGAAGGGATCCTCTGCTTATTAAGCCAGCCAAGAGGGTTCTGGGTGTTACTGGGATGTTACTTGATTGCAGGAGCTCTGTAGCACGACTGCTAAAATTCCCCTTGTGATGTGGAAGGGGGTGGCTGTCCCATACCCTAGTCAAGCCTCTTTGGAACAGGTCCTTCTCATGCAATCCAACTGAGGGGAGGGGAAAAAAGAAAAAGAAATCTTTGTAAAGTTGTCTTCTGAGTGGACTTCGTTCACATGCTTTGCCAGTCTTCCCTGTTTTATTGCTTTGTGCTCTTCTCTGTACAGACATGAGGCAGAAGGGGCTGCCTGTATGTGAAGGAGAAAGCAAACACCCGCATCTTCTTGGCCTGGTGATTTCTGACTTGTCCCTCTCCCAGGGGCTGTGTCACACCTGTGCTGGCTTCCTGGAGCCTCCAGATGAAGGTTTTCCCTGCCCATCCCTGATCTTCTATGAAAGCTAGGGAATATGAGACAGGATCATGTCAAAGCCGTGCTTTCAGGGATTGTAACACAGCAGCAGGCACAGTTCTCCCTCTCTCAGGACACCCTGTTATTTCAAAGGTGATCTCTGATGCACTTGCCAGAGTGGACAGAGAATACTTCTGTGGTTGAAGATAACACTTCCTTTTCCCTGGAAAACCAGCCAGTTGAGAAAGAAAGGTAAAACGAATCAGACTTTCAGGGTCACTCTGCATAGAGAAAATTTGCAAAGCTCAGCTTTTTCGAATAAAACAAAAGTGGAAGGTGCAGGAACCTTTCTCCTCTTTTTGTTCCCCAAAATAAACTTCCCCAGTGTGTTTTAGAAGAGACATGAAGAAACGAGGAAAGAGTAGGGGACAGAGCACAGCTGTCTTCCTGAGAGCAAAAGTAAAGATTTGCTTGGCTTGTATCTAAAACTTATAGAATGGGAAATCCAGTGTGGATTTGGTGTTTTCAAAACTTTCCCGTCCTTCTCAGGATCATTGTGCACACTCCTCTTTTCCTGCAGATAAGCCTCAGAGGTGATGATCCAGGAGGGGAATGTACCTGCTGGTGGCTGTCCCAGCCCAAAGGCTTTGTTCCCCCCCATATCACTTCCCACGAACCATTAAGTGGGAGCCTGCTCGCCGCAGCCCTTTGTGTGCCAGATCTCTGCCTTTGGTCTGGAGCTGTGCATCCTCCACTGGGCTTGTTCCACCCTGGACTCCTCTTAGTGAGATGCTCTGAGCTGGAACCTTCTTTAAGAGTGATCTTACCTGTGCCTGTCCTGGGCATCACATGCTCTGCTTCTCCTTTCAGCCGGGGATCTGCTGTGAGTGGTGCCCATCACAGCACTGCCGAGGAAAGTCACTCCTTGAAAAAGCCAGTTTTGAGGCTGGTGAATACCCCAGGGACCAGGTTTTAAATCATTGTGGAAAGAACTGCTGTGGAAATACCCTTTCTTTCATTTTGAAATCTGTGGTGTTTATTCTGAGGAGACCTTGTGGCTCAGAAAGAAGTCCAGGCAGGAAACTGATGGTCTTCAGTGCAGTGATGACCAGTTAGGGTTGGAGCTGAGGAGCTGACTGGGAGTGAGCCCCATAAAAAGATTGTGGGGGAAACCCCCTCTGTGTGGGGCTGGCTGGCTGGCTCAGCATGGGTCCCTGAGCAGGCAGAGGAAGGAAAATGTCAGTGTTGTATCCGTGCAGCGATGTTTGTTTAAAACATGAAATATCTCTGAAGCAGAGCTGTCCAGTCTGGTAGCTGGAGTCCTCTCCATTTTTAAGGCTCCTGATGTCACACAAGGAGATGCTTGCAGAATCTTTCTGGTGAAGATGAGTCTTAAGTCAACTAAGAACTGTACTGATGGACTCTTGTCCATTATCCTCTCAATGTGCTGCTGTCTGCAGCACAAACTTGACCCAACATTTCATGAACTTTTTCCTCTGCCAGCTGTGGTTCCGAATTGAAATGCTAAATTCCAAAGGTTAAATTTTTCAGATGCTTCCTGATCCCAATCAAACCATTCAAATACTTCCTGAACCCAACCAAAACATTATTTGGTGAGCCTGCTGTAAGGGACATTTGTTTCGCATGTAGTTGACAATATAAACTGTATCCTATGACCCTTTCTAAGGTGTCGCCTCAGAGTTACAGCTGCAGAGCTTCTTGCTCAAGACACAAGGTGCTAGATCTTCAACCAGGGTATGAGTATGAGCATCACATAGTCTCTGTTCCTAGCAGTAGAAAGTAACAGAAATGGGAAATTAGCATTTAGAGAGAGTTCTGTCAGCCTGTTCCTGGGTGGGACTGGGCTGTGTCTGGCTGGGGAGGCTCTTCAGCTTCTACCACTGGGGCCTTCAGTCTTCACACTTGTCCTTTGCAGTTGGCAGGAGACATCCAGATCCATCTCAGATCACAAGTTCCTGCGACATTCTCTTGCCTGCCAATTGAATCTCTGTGGATTTGTTACTTTTTTGGCCTGCTGGACTGCTATTATAACTCCATGTAGATTACTATTACAGGTTCGTGAAATGTGGCTGGCAAAAGCAGGAGTATAAATCCATTGGCATATATGAGATATTTTAAGCTACCTGTACGTTGACTTAAAATTTTTCAGGCATTTGCAAACATAGAAAAGTCCAAAACCAGTGAAACTTCGGGTTTGCTTCTTTGTGTTCACTTGCTTGCAAAGCCATGGCTGTTCCCAGCTCTTCACTGTTCCAGAAAGGCCCTGTGGGAACCTCAATCTTGTGCTTAATAGAGCCTCTTGATGTATTTTGGAGGTACCCTGAGGATTTTTGGCTTTAAAAATTACTATGGTAACTGCAATTATTATGACAAAAAGAATTGTTTTAGAGGTTTAGAGCTTATCCAGGGCTGGCAAGGCTGCATCTCTCATGAGGGCAAAGTTATGTTAAGAGTTAACACAGCTTTTATTCCAAATGTAAACGTGGTTACAAGAAATTATTGGTTTTTTCCATATTTTTTTGCCCATATGTAAAACACTTTAAAAAAAAAAGAACCTAAGACCAAACACCACCAAAAAAAACCAACATGAGGAAACCATGTATCTGGCATCCTCATGATGTCAGGAGATCTCCAAAAATCAACAGAGAAAGCAGAACCTAATTCAGAAGATGTCTCTCAGCTGGTTTATAGCACCCGTAATAACTACAAGCAAAAAACCACTCGTTGCCCTACACTACTTCTATCAGGCCGCTAGATCGGTGCATTTCAGAAGATTTCGAAGAACGAAATTTGTCTTTGTCCTCAAGCATTTGTTGCTAATTTATTCAAGACTGTGACAGTTTCTTTGCCTTGAAGGATCTTAGGCAGCGAGCAGAGAGATAAGAGACTGTTCTTACGTCTTTGCTTGGTTTTAAAACTTCTCAGTGTAACCCTTATCAGTTCAAGTCACTGGATTGAGGACTTGGCAGTGCTATGTCCTCAGTAAAAGATGGAAAGGCGTTTTTTGCAGAAGCAGTCCACAAATCCGTCATGAAGAACTGCCCGGTAGCAGAGTGTCACTAGCAAAGCAAACGTGGGATGCCTGC